CATCATCATCATCATCATCATCATCATCATCATCATCATCATCATCACCATCATCACCACCATCATCTCACCAAATTCTATTAGCCTGCAAAAATATATACTCCTCTCTCTCCCTCTCTCTCTCTCTTTCCTCTTTTACTCTCTCATCTCCAGATCCTTTCATCTTTCTTTCTTTCTTTCTCTCTCGCTCGCTCACTCTTTCGCGTCCTTCCACCACTTGCATCTCAAAAACTTGCCAACACTTGCTCGTTCGTTTCTTTTGTTCCATCCAAGAGGTACGTTCACGGACATCAACCATCCACATATATATTCACCCAGGCTGTTGAACAGAATCGTACAGGATTAGTGTCCGGTGTTCACCGGGTACTCGGGGAGGAATGAGGACCGAGCTAACTAGAGTACTAACATTCCAATTTGCAACTCTGGTGTTTCTCGATTGGCTGGTCCTATTGTACTCCAGGACGTGACGTGAACGGGCAAGAAAACGGGGACCGATAAACCCTGCCGCAGGGTACAGAGTGTAATTTTTTCTCTTTTCAAACAGAGAACAGACTCACATTTCCCGAAATCGTTGGTAGCACAGCTTCATGGCTCTCACTCGGCTCTGGTTTGCGACTAAGATAGCGAACGCACGAAAAGTATATGCCTGCAATCTCATCCGCCATCGGTGATATCTGTGAGAATTGTTAACTGCCCGCGAGTACGCGGGTTGTTATGGCAAAATGTGTTCTCAAATGTTCAAGGAAGCATTGGGCCATGTGTAACTTTAGGTACGAGAGACGGAACTTGCCGAAGCGACCAAGCTAAATTAATAATCGAGAAAAACTCTTCGTCGGTTCTTCGTTTTTCCGGAGAACGAGAAAAATCGATGGTCGCGACGAGAATGTCAAAACCACCGAGTTAAATTATGTCAAACTCACATCGTAGAATTTCTCAACAAAGGTAAGCGAATATGGGACCCAGAGAGCCAAGTCTGTCGAAAGCAGATCTTGCCAAGTCTGCTACAAATTTTGTCGGCAGATAGACTACAGATTTAATACCGGTTCTGGTATATGATGTCGGCAGAACGTTAACAGAAGTATAACAGAATCTGTTAACATAATCAGACAGCAGATTGGCGGCAGAAATCGAGCAGATTCTGCTGAAACTGTTCAGGCTCTGCGCGATTTCTGCTGCCAATCTGCTGTTTGATTATGTTAACAGACTTTGCTGGTAAAACATAAGCTGAATGCGGACGCAGTTGATGTCAGTCTGCTGACATGTCTGATTAAATCCTGTTACCAATCTGCCGACAGACTGCTATCAATTTGTTTATTGAAGGAGGAACAAACTCCGCGTATTTCACACCCTGATAGAAAAAGATCCATAACAATTAAGAAATCTGGATGAAACTGGAAATGCTGTAATTATGTCTCAATATTTGCAGCAACACTAATAGGTAGAAATATTGAGAAATATTTGCACAATTAATTTCTAAATAGTATTTCAGCAAGATAGCAGCGATATGAGGAACTATCCTAGCAGAATATTTGCAAAATTAAACTTGGAAAGAAATTGCGAAATAATTAAGAAATATATTTGAGTTTTATATATTATGTGTTATTCCTGTATTATTACGTAGCATTCTGTTTGCTGGATCGCCGATAGATGGCATCCTTTCTCGTACGTAAAATATAATGAACGGTAGTATGCATGTAACTGTTATATATCGGTGTTTACTGAAGTGTGCTGGAATGATTTTACTTCTAAATATCTAAATAATTGTGCAAAAACATAAAATTGAATTTCTCAATTTTTGTGTAAATATTATTCAAAAATTTTATGCTGGCAAGAATGCTGCGTTATGAGAAATCATTTTAGCACAATAATTATGAAATTCCTCTCAATTGAATGATGCAATTATTGTATAATATTGACGTAATTTTCCCTATCGGGGCAAGAAAAATAATTTGACAAATACTAGTCAGTCGGTATTTACCAAATTATTTTTCTTTCTTTTTACAAGATGTCCCATTTAAATAAAAATTATTGTAAGAGAGAATACGCGAGGCATTCGAAAGGGGGACTACGTTCCAAAATATGAATGCGATTAGCGGTGGGTGTCTTTCCTGTCTTAGGAAGAAAGTATTGCGAATGTGACGAACATATAGATGATGATGACTTGAGAAAAAAAACTTAAAAAAAAAGAAGAAAAAAGAGAATATCGGTAGAGGACGTATAAAAATTAATTTTTCGAAAATTGTTGAAAGCCAGAGTATGTCCATGAGAGTGATTATTACTTGATCGTTGATGAGAGATGATGAGGCGTTATGAAAGAGAAATAATGTCAGATCGTAATCACCTGTTCCAGGAGGATCAGCGGACGTTTCCGTAGGCTTACGTTTTACTTCAGTCATCGTCTTCATTCAGGTATTGCCGGAAGGCCGGCCACCGGCGGCTCTGTTATGTTACCTTTCAAACTCTTCTATATATATACTCGCTTTTACAGTTCTACAATTATATATATATAAACGTCGCTCCTGGATCCGTCCCCATGTCGCTTTTAATTAAACTTGGAATTTTATACACGCAAATCTCTCGAGAGTAGCTCTTCGTTACGATTTATATATCAGATTATGTAGGATAAATTAAATATTTCTTCATGTCCGAAAATACGTATTATATTAAAATACTGATTTTATAGGCACGATAATTTTGGACTGATCGGATCTGCTGGCTGTCCCAAAATTGGCGTAAAAAAAAGAAACTTATCGCTCTTCACAACTTGGCAAAAAGAGAACAAGAGTTGGGATCTCGGTTTCAAATCTTCAATTTCGTTAAAACAAAATTCGCTTGAAAATCAAACGACCGATGACGTTTTATCATTGATTCTTATCTCTGAAACTTAATTCGCAAAAATTGGTTTATTTTTACTAGCTCGTGAAAATTGAGCATATATTCGTCGTAACTTTAAAAATTATTGGCACACAAGCAACTGGGGATTGCAAATTTTGCAAGAGACTCGTTTGTCTTCTGTCAATCCTGAAACAGCCAGCGGATGTGTGATTGTGCATCGCTGACTCGCATTTAAAGGAATTTATGGTACCCCCACGATGCTTGGGTCTTTTATTCTCGGCATAATTTAACATACACTACAATCAACGGAGAACATTACGGAGAGCATTGAGTATTCTCGCATTAACTCGGCGAAACGTTTTACAGTTTACACGGCAAAAACCATCGGCACGAATTGGGAAACGTGATATCATTCGCGATCATCTAATATTCACATCTACAAGATTTCGCGCAGCATCCTGCGGTGGACAAAAAGACTGCGACACTTTTCTCTCTTGCTCGACAAAAATCGTGAGATCGTTCTCGCATACGTAAAAAATCCACGGTAGCCTCGACTCGCATTCAACTCGTTTGTATAGCTCGTAGTATCTCAAAAGTGTAAAAGAATGCCGGATTCGCGGTTTCCTCACCGTGCGTTCTTTCACGACGCGGTACGAAAGATTCCCCTGACGGCCGTGAGAGCGACGGATCGGAATCAACATTCTCACACGACAACGTTTCACGACACACGTCTCGAATTCGTCACGCAGTTTCATCTTATTTCCTCTCTCTCCCTCCCTCGGGGACACAATAATATCGAGCGATTTTACAGAGCACAGCTAAACTCTACAATAAAATTCGTTACATTTTGTGAGCGATATTAAAATTGCTTTATATCAATCCTTATTTACATACTTCGTAGATCACTTCCAAATCGTTTTGCAAGGCATCCTTTGAGCAGTGGGCATTCTCTCATCCCGCGCGAAATAACTCACTGATTGAGGGATCACGAAAAGATGCCAATAACGTCGTAGGCATAGCTATTTCAAACGATTTGAAATACGTGGTCTGACAATTAAATCCATAGATAACATTTATTTGGACCTAAATGCAGCTTGTTTGTCCAATCAACGAGATGATAGAAATATTACATTTGTTTTCTAAAATAAATTTTACATATTTTTTGCGAATTAAACTTAACATTTATACATAATTTCTTTACTACTTTTTCCACCTTCGCCTGCGGAATTGAGTAGATTAAGTAACACAGGAATGTTTTTGCCGGTTCCAAATCCGAACTAAGGAAAAGGATTCTTTTTCCAAATGAAACGTAAATATTTGACATTGATTTTTTTGCTAAATAATCACTCAACAACAATTATTCAGCGTATCGTTTACACGCTATCAATACGAAACATAACGAAGAGATAAAAGAGTGCACTAATCTAATGTGTTTTCAATATTGTCTATGGGTAACAAAAAAAAGAGATACATCTACAAACTTAATTGTCAGACCACGTAGATCTATAATCGCTACGACTCACGCACGAATGTTCGAGCTGATCAATCAATTATTATTCATCATACAGCCATCCATCAACGATTTTATTTTATCTCTTATACAAGTTGTTTTATTTTATTCTATTTTTTTTTATTTCTTGCATCGTAAGGAACTACATTCTCCCTGAAAATATTTCCAGACGTTAAGGGTATTAAAGCGCGAACATTCGTGCCTCAACGACAAGCTTGGTACGGTTCCAGTGTTTGTTAAAAGTTGTCTTAAACCACAGCTTCTATGTAGATCAATTTAACAATTTATAGACTTAATAGCGTGGCAGAATGCTCAATCAACCAACTCATCGTCTATCTCTTCTCATTGAAATCTGTATACGTGTATATGTACGTGTGTGTGTGTGTGTGTGTGTGTGTGTTTTGTGTGCGCGCGTGCGTGTGTATAATTTAGTTTTTTTTTTTTTTTACATACATTACGTATATAAACAACCTCCTCTCAATCTAAGTATATACCAGACACACACTGGACGACTTTTGCTCATTCTCATCTAATACCGCAGTGTTCCCCCGCTCGCCTTATGCATTATTACTCAGTCACCTCATTTCTTCACCTCGCCTCGCCAAGTACACGCGTTCTCAGTGCTCTAAACAAACGACATCATCACTTTTGCTAAGTAGTAAAAACTCACGCCTGTAGTTCTGTAAGACGACCATTAACAAATACATTCAACCGTCTCTCTCTCTCAAACATACTCATATGCACACACCACACACACACGCACGTGCCTCGAGCAATCCAGTTTAACATTCTCAAAGTTAGAGGAGATTTTTCTCATCTGTATACGCGACACGCATATCGACGAGAATTCACGCTAATGAGAGAGAAAGAGCGAGAGAGTATTATCATTAGAATTGTATATTAAGTAGTATCTCGCGTTCAAAAGAAGGAAGTTTGAGAAATCACTGTACGACAAAAATGAAAAGCACAACAGTATACACACCTCTTATATTAGGGATTATTTTATTCTTTCAATTAATATACTCATAAGAGATAATTAGCGTACTCTGAAATAGTCAATCTAAATAATTCCTTTAACGTGATACACAGTGATATCGCGGTGACAAATGCGGTATTTAAGTTTAATTGCGACGTAATTATTTCGTATGTTAAAGTTATTGACTATAATTGTGAGATGTGAATTGCATCCTTCTTCGTGCTATGACTCTTTCTTTTTCTTTCTTTCTTTCTTTGAAAAATAAATACTCTCGACCAGTAAAGCTATCTTTTTCATTATCGTTCAATCAGGAAACAGTTCGAAAGTCTTTTCATTAAGAATATTTCATTCAGAACTTATGACACATTATACACAGACATATAAGACATCTAAATAGTTTTCTTTCCGCTTTCTTCAAATCACTCAATTAAAATGGAAAAAATCTGATCAGTTCAAACAATTTTCTTTCACACACATCAATCAATAATTTTGACACACCTGCACACTAGTGTAAAATTCTCACATAATAAGCTATTTATGTGTTACATTTGAGATATTTGAAACAGAAGTTCAACTTGATAATAATATACAATACGGATAGCTGCGATCAATCTCTAGGTGTGAGCTATTCTGATACATTCATACACTTTCAAACAGTCACATCAATCGCAATTTATACGCTCTTTCTGATCTTGGTAATATTTTGGAAACGTCTCATGAAACGGATAAAGGATGTTGCAAAATAGAATAAGATTGTTTCAACGAAGGTAACTTTACACCAAAACCAAAGAAAACTTCTGGTCCATTTAATGTTTAAAATGATGAAATTAAATTTCAATTTCAATCTTAATAATCTCTCTAGAAGAAATCTTTTTCTTCGTAATCCTTATTATCTCAATCCATCATACTTAACATTTATTGCGGATTTATTTTGGAATAGATCTCCTTAAAGCATAACGTAGTAATGTTTCGCTCGTATAACGGCAATTTTACAGAAACTTACGAAATGTAATTGTTACCCACGTTGAGAAAGCATCTTGCTAGAAGATGTTATAAAGGTAAAAATATTTTAGAAACGATTGCGAAGCTTTAAACGCAGGACCTTGATTCGAAAGAAGCCGTCCATTCTCGCAGCAGCAAAATTCACAATTCCAGATCTCCGGAAAATACACGGAAAATATAAGGAAAAATTATGATTCTAAAATAATCAAGAGATCTGTCGTTAAAAAATAATGCGCAAGAAATTGAATAATAGTTATATATAATAGCTTGAAAACGCGATGGCAAGTTATATATTACATAATGCATATTACATAATACATAAACGCTTTTTACAAACAACATCTAGCAATTCGGCGCGGCTTTTAACTCGATACGCAAATTAATTGACTTTGGTCTCATGTTCATTTATTTACCACATTGCACCTATTAGATTAGTTGCCTCGGTTACAAACTAATATAGTTTGTAACTAAGGCGATCGATCTAGTCTCCTTCTACATCACAATTTTTGACATAGACAAGGAGAAAATTTAGTTAATTGCGAGTTTAAACAAAAGATGCGGTTAGATAAAGCCAATATCTCAACAAATGCTATTAAGTAAATATTCACTAAAGCCCCCTTTATTAAAGAGATTTGTGGCAAAGGAAGACTTGAGCTATTTTCAACTTCCCAATAATTTAATAATAATTGCTCGATGGGAAAATGTTATATACTTAAATAGAATGGAGAAACGATGCAGATGCCATTGTAGCTATAATTATTTTCTATATGACTGTGTCTGTGGCAGTAATTACTTTTCAGGTAACAATATTTTGGTATACATTTCACTGGGCTTGACAAATGTTGAAGCAGCTGAAGTCTTCTTGAGACTCAGATCTTGTCAGATATTCGTAAATTACACGTTTATCAATCTTTAATCGCTAAGCAGTAAATGTACTCGATTATACAATCTCACCCTCGCCATGCAGCTATGCTGCTCCACACATCAACTTCATACGTATCGTCGATTTTATTCATGCCATTATCTATTGTACGCTCACACCAGAGATGACGCAAATATCGGGCGTACATATTTTCGAATGATCGAAGCTATCCGCCTTTATTTATCGTAAACCTAAACCGCCTCTTTCAACGAACGGAATTGTGCTAACTTGTCAAACCAGTAAGAGAGTGGAGAAGGGGGGAATCTCGAAATATTATAATACACGCAGTGGCGATTAGTGCAAAACATTAGAAAAAACGTCAACGTACTATAGGCTCTGGTTCTTGGTTCTATTCTGGGGACGGGATCGACGTGCTTTTGGAAAACCGTCGATCCCATCGGTTACCACCGTTCGTTATGGTTGTTGCGTCGGGACCCGTGGATAGAGGATCCGTTTGGTTTTACGAGTAGACCCACGGCCCCGATTGAATTTACTCGTACTTAAGAAAGGTATTCGACTTCTGGTCGCGCTGACCCGGGTGATTCTGCCAGGCGCCCTGGGACGCGTTCGGGTTATTCGGCCCGGGGCCGCCGGTGCCGGGATTGCCCGTATTGCCGTCGCCGCCGCCTTGGTTCATCCAGCTGAGAAAGCCGGAATTGCCGCTGTTGCCAATAGTGTTGTTACCGGAGGGCGGCTGGCCCGGTGGGCCCGGCTGGTTCGAATAACCCTGGTCGTTTCCCTGGTTCTGCAGGTTACCGATCAGACCCCAGGACGCCTGGTTCAGAGCGGCAGCCACCAATGCCGGATTGACCGGCAATGCGGACAGATTCAGACCACCCATCGCCAGCGGATTCGACATACCACCCCCACCGCCACCGCCGTTGTTTTGTCCGGTGATACCCAGAGCCTGTAGATTCGGCATGTCGAGATTACCGCGATTCCCCGGGTTATTCCAGCCGTTTGGGCCCATATTATTGCCCGAATGGCCCATGTAACGGTTACCCTGATAATTGCCCTGCACATTATTATCGACGGGTCCCGGCGCGCCCCTGCCGCCCCTCATGTTCGAGTTCACTTGATTGTTGAAATTTTTATTGTTGCCCTCGGACTTGGGCGCGGCATTTGAGACGTGTACCGAGACGCCCTTGATAATATGATCTTCGCCGCAGAGCGACTGGGCGACCTCGGGATCTAAGAAAGTGACAAACGAAAACGCGCGGAAGGGTTTCGGGATGAACACGTCCGTCACTTCGCCAAACTTGGAGAAATAATCTCGTAGATCGTCCGCGGTTAGATCTTCGGTACAGCGGCCGACGAATACCTTGCAGGGTACTTGCTGAATCATTCCTTCCTACACACAAACGCACAATCAATCAATCATGTACGACAGGTTTTCACAGTTATGTAAAACTTGCGTACAGTGCACATTACTCACAATACCGGCGACGGTAGAATCGCTGCGAGACATATATGGCATTCGTCACGAGATAGGCAAAACGTAAAGTACATTACGGTTTACATCGAGTGTATCACATGCACACAATCTAAGTTCCGTAGACACACAATCTCTCGCTTCCGGCTTAGGACTCTAACGTTCCGTCGAATTGCAATTAATCTGCACTAAACGTCAAGTTTTATATAGAAAATTTTTAAATATTTATATTTGTCGGTTCAAGAAAAGATGTCGGCTAGCTCAATTTACATGTAAATTTACATATGTTATATAATGAACACTTAAGCACTATGACCACTTGAAATCCATGCATCAATCTGTACAATGTCTTTTTCTTTTTTATGTTCACAATGTAGAGAATCTCATGCTACATTACACTGTCTCGATTTGAATAAGCACATATCTGATAAAATGTGAACAGTTATTCCAGACTAATTATTTCTACCATTAGACATATCTGTTATATTTAACGAACACCATGATTTAATGGGAATATATATAAATGCTTTTTTTTATGTTAACTGATTGATTATATGAGATAAGGGATTTATCTTTATGATTTAAATTATCTCTATTATACGAACATTTATCGAGAAATACTTTCAACAAGAATTTCATAATTTCAGGAGACAAATGTGATAACAAATTTTTATCACTATGTGCTTTTGTGAGATATATTTTTTTAAAATAAATTATGATTTTTTTACGTAATACAATTTCTCTAGTCATTCTGTATATAAAACATTGATAGTTATAAAAAATTGATAGTTTACAAGACTTCATATTTTATTCTGACCTCATATTTATTCAGATCTTGACATAAAATATGAAATATCTTATCAATTTTTTATTACTTTGATATCGATTTGATTTTATGCACAGAATGATGAGAGTTAATTGGTGTAGGGAAAACATATAATTGTTTTAAGGCTCCTGGTCCCTGAACCGAGAACTCTGCGTTGACGGTGGCGACGTACTGTCGCGGCAGAAATCAGAACTCTCTCCAATGGAAAATTCTGTCCTTTGTGACATGTTGACAACCTATTTTGTTGTGCGTGCTATTTCTTTATTATTCGCTCTGTGCTTGTGCTCTAACGTTTAACGTATTCGTGAAAATCGTAAAATTGGCCGAAAAGTAAGATTTGCATGCGGAAGGAACGTTTTCACCTCCTTTCGATAGTCGTTAAACGGCTGTTTTTCCCGTATGTTTAGGCTTCGTTTTATGACTGTTTGTTTATTGTCGAGGGAAAAGGGTAGTTTTCGGCCAATTTCGGAAGTGTTCTGAAACGATCTATAGTGATGTTTTATTGAAATGTCTTTTTACTTGAAAATGGCATGCACAACAAAATTGGGTGTTTTCCTCGCCTCGATAAGAATCCAATATGGCCGCGGTGACTACCCAGGAGCCTTAAAAAAAAGTATACTTTGGCAAGAATTATATTTTCTAAAAAAATATATATAATTTGCAATCTGCCATATTTTTGTCTTGAATAAATGTTTAAACTTCAATTTTTAAATTAAACAATAAAGATAATTTAGGCCATAAAATTAGATGCACATATTTAATGTGCTCGGAAAAAAAAGCGAAATAGATGAGTAATATAAAATCATATATGTAAATTCTTGAAAGTAGCTGCGGTGAAAGAAAAATTTCTATAATTTTCCAAACATTATACCACGCATCTTTATCTTCGACATTCCTAAAAATAATCCGTAATTAACTTAAAATGTTTCACATCAACAATAAAATAATCAATAATAAAATAATATAAAAAAAGTAAAATAATAATAAAATATTATATTATTTTCTTATCTCTTTCTGTAAGAAATATTGCTTGTTTTTGGCGACTCAAATGCAGCAATAAAAGTGCTTTAATAAGTCACATGTCAAACATTAATAAATATTTAATAGTCATTGAAAAAACGAAAGTATTGAGCATGTATATAAGTATTTTACATACATATACGTAAAATTATATATCAAATAAATGTTCCTGATTTTAATAAACCGTATCGACATACCGAATACTTTTCAACATTCATTCATACAAATTTTCGGCGATTTCGCATTTCGTACGATCTTCGCGATATCGAAGAAATCCGTTATGATGCATCGCAAACAATACATAATAATAATATCAACATTCGTAGCATCCGTAGATGCGTGGTATAATACGTGCGAGGAATATGCACTAATCCTAGGAGAAAAGACCATTGCCGAGTTTCGTCGGTCGCGTGTCGACACGTATTCCCATTAAAACATGATTGATTGTAATTACAAATTTCCTCTTCAGTATCTTGACGCGTCCGCGACGTGGTGATCCCTCGATGGCCGGTGCTTGTAATAGCGATCGTAATAGTTCTCCTTCGTCGGGTATCTCGCTGGATCCGCGTATCTACCGTCGATCGGGTCGCGGCCGTCCGACGTGGCGGCGTAACGGCCATCGACCTCGCGGCTGTCCATCGCGTACCTGCCGTCCACGACTTCCCTACCGTCGACGATGTATCTCCTGTCCATCTCGCGACTGTCCACGTATCGGCAGTCTGGCTCCCGACCGGGATCGGCCGGCAAATGCCGGCTGTCTGGATGCCTCGCGTCCGGATACCGCACCTCGTACCTGCAGTCAGTCGCCGCGACGGCGTAACGACCGTCGGCCTGGTCGTAGTAGCACCGTTGCTCGTACCCGTAATTGCTGTACCTGCCCTTATCGTACTGCTCCGGACAATTGTCGGCTGGATAGGCAGCTGCGCGTCCCTCGCCGTAGTATCGCGACCCGTATTCAGCGTCGGACGGTGGATACGCGGGATTAACGGGCGCCGCGGCGGCGTTCGCATGCGGTGGCGGCATGTAGCCGCGAGTATCGTAGGCGGCGGACTCCTCGTAGGCGGCGTAGTTCGGCTTCTCGTTGTAGGCGTTGTAAGTGACCTGCTGCTGACCGCCACCACCGCCACCGCCACCACCGCCCTCGTACTTGTATTTGTTATCGTCATACGGATAATTCGGGGGATATGACGGATAGTGAGTGGTTTTGTAATCGTACTCCGAGTCGTATCTCGGGGGTGGCGCGCTCAGGGGCGGAGCAGTGGCCTCGGACGACGACGAATTTACGTTGGCTACGTACGGCTTCGACACCGGCACCCGGCGACTACTCGGCGTGTGCACCGGTATAGGTCGGTAGCACTCGTTACTGTGCTTACCCGTATCATACTGACGTGCCATCATTAATCCATCAATATTCTGTAACCAGATTACACCAGCCCTCGACAATCACATACAGACTTGATCGAAATGCTGAAGCACACATACGCATTCGCTCCGCTCACGCGGTCTCAAGCTACGTCCTCGAATTGTTCTCGATACCCTACCGACGCGACGGTGAAACACGCGAATGTAAACGATTTCGCAGCGCAGAATCTTTCGCGAAACGTGACACGACGACGTAAGCTATTGCGCCATTCACTCGCGAGTTTTTTTTTCATTCCTGATTACGCACTCTATTACCTAGTGTCTCGCTTCGCAAGATCTTTTCCACGCGACCTCATCATTCACGCGTCCTGAACTCTAGAACGTTACTCAGATATCGTGACAACGCATCGCAGCTCTCACAAAAGCTGCTTAAAAGCATCATTCCCGTATGATGGAGGAGGCTCGCGCGAATTTTCGGGTTTAAGGAATCCGGTTCACGGGCTGTTTACGAGACATACTCCATGCGCGACTGCGAAATTCTGCATTTACATACTCCAGCACACAAAGTCATACCCGTTACAATATTTCATGTATTCATTGTATCCAGGAAGATACGCGCGCTCGAAAACGTGAAAATATAGATCTTTTTCTTCCAGTTACGCTCTCTCAATGCGCGCGATACATTCCTTCTCATAATATTCTCATTCACGCGTACTCGTTAACTCGAAATGCTACGTAATTTAGCGAGTATTTTGGCTTTTATCAGCGTTAAAAGATATTAAGTCGTCTAAAGACTTTTTTTTCCTCATTTGTCGTGATCGAGGCTTGCAAAAGCTCCGGTCACTTTTAAGAAATCTTGAAAAAGATAACGCATGACGTTAAGTATGCCGTAAGTTGGATACGTTTTATTGACTCATTTCTCTCAATGTTGCAATCTCTGACACAGAACTATTAATCACTCTCTTAAAGAAATCTCATACCGTTTTAGAGACACAAACATACTATATTATTTTCACGCAAGCACACCATTAACGTCGCTCTCTCCATGGCTCACGCACCACACTCGTATAAACATACATTCATACATACAGGCATTTTGCATTCTTTCTATAATTCCACCACTCTTATAGCCTTTCGCACATTCACCTATTTACACCACAGCAGAATACGTCTCATATACATAAAAATAACATATTCAAGGAATGTGAGAAAATATTGATATTCGCTTATTAAAGCATTATATGATAAATGGAGATAGACGGAAAGCTCATAAAGATGAGGTATTACCCGTATCCACAATCGTAAGCTTATCAGTTTTAGCCGATTATCTCTCACACAACATTCCATTCTCTACTTGAAATATTACACGTGTATTTATATTTGTACATATCTTGGCGTGTAAAGACACGTAAAGACATTCACAAGCTGACATGAAGCAACCGAGATTTAAAAAGCTTCGTCTTGTATATTGCCAAAATCGAAAAATTAGGTATTATTTTGCATTTTGTCTCAAATGAGTTTTTTTTTACTTTCTCAGATTTTTCTTTGTTAACAAAAGATTTTAGAAACGAATCGGAATTTATCAGCAAATAGAATAAAGATAAAATTCATGTGGATTGTTTTTGTATGTACGTCCAATTACATGAAACATAATATAGACAACTGCTGCGAAATCGTGCGATTAATTCTATTTTAATTTTAATAAACTTGATGAAGTTGAGATTTGGATTATTTTCAAATATAAAAAAAAAAAAAACAATAATCTTGCTAAATTTTTTTGCCACAAATGCGATAAATTTTGGTAACTTTGGTAATTATATAAATTGTTATAATTTTTATTTTTAAAAATATGTACAAATTAAAGACACGTGTACTTGAAAGAGAGAGAATATATCATTTCAGAAACAGTACAAAGCGATCATTTAACAATTTAACAATATCAATTATAAATCTGAATTTTTGTATTATGTTAGTTATTATTTAATATTTATCTATATAATATACGCTATTGTTATTTTTGTTATTTTTGAAATTATATAGACAATAATATATAGCACTGAAGTTTTATATTTTATTATTCAACGGCAACAGTAACATCTTTAATAATAGACTATGTAAAGATTTCATTGACAAATAACTGAATAAAGATGCCAAACATGTGCACAAAGAATTGCAGTACTTATTTCTGGCAAAAATCTTCTTAGGACATCTCGTATTGTTTTTAAAATGATTTATTCGCTCCTATGTGCTTTAAATGTGCATCACCGATTTAACGCTCTTTAAAATTTTCTTATACATCCGAGAAAACGGTAAAAAAGTAGCAGAAAGAATTGTAGGGGTCTGTAAGTAAGTTATGTTCTTACCTTACTATTAGGAACCTTGACATCGCACCATCTGCCGTCTATCATATGACGTTGAGCGAGGCATCTCAACTGCGATTCATAACTTCCAAATCGAATAAAGCCAAATCCTTTGCTTTGGCCGGATTTCGCATCTTTCTTTACCTACGACAGGATTTTAACGTGATCTTTCATAGTCATAGGGTACAGCATTATGCTTACGCAAATAAAATATTCCACTTTTTTTATCATTTGCATTACTCCTTATTAGGAGTACTTACATGATTAATGTGCATTTAACGCGTTACAAATATTTACCCAATTAAGATTATTTATTACGAGCTTAATTATTATCATTATGTTGAATACATATTTTTGTTCTATTTAAAGAGTTGTAACGCGATATCGCTCTCTTACTTATTTAATAAATTAGTATAATCAGTAGACTTAAAGGAATATGTTATTAGTGTAGCAGGACTCCGCTGTTAGTTTCCAAGCCCAAGCGCAAGCTTGAGTAAGTGCAGAGACTCACCTGTGCCATCAGAACTTCGCCAAACGTTTCGAAATACTCGCGCAAGTTCTGTTCGGTAGTTTTCCACGGCAAACCGAGTACAATCAAGTCAGTGCAACGCAACTTCGTTTCCATTCTTTTAGTCTTAGCTGTGGAATTTTCCAAATTGTCATCAGATTTACGTTTGTTCTCTGAAAAGACATAATAGACGTTCACGTCTCTAACCGGCTCGTGACTATTTGCAGAGAAAAAAAGTAAAAAAAAAAGATGAAGAGAGAAAAACGAAGTTGAAAAGAAACCGAAAGAAAAATAAAAGTACAGCTTAGAGATATTTGCTTCGCACATTATTATTTGATATTCGTTAATGACGAAGCTGATTTCAACAATTGATTGCAGTATTCTTATGGACCATGAGAATATTATTCCATTTATCTGGCATTCATTATAAAATAGACGAATTAAAGTAAACTTATTAAAGTAGACAAACATGTAAAAGCGCACTCCGAGATAACCCAGCATCTCATTGAGCGCAACAGATACAATTAAAGGAATAATCGCTTCTGGCAAATAGATGCCGATATCTCGGGATAATTCGGGCCGAACTCTGGCTAACTTGGTGGAACTTCTAATTGCAGTGTTCCCCAGTTGTCTGATCTTTTTTTAATTTATAATTCCACGTAATGTTAATTTCTTTCAATGTAGATTAACTTTAATCTCGGTTTAACTCCCTTTTTATCTTTTTCTAGTTCTAACAATTAAAAAAAGATTTAAAAAAAGTTAAACTGGTTTTAAAGTTAATCTACATTGGTAGAAATGAACATTAACACCCCAGTAAGCAAAATAATAGCAGTCTGTCGGCAGATTGGTAACAGATTTGATCAGACGTCAGCAGACTAACGTATATCAACTGCGTCCTCAATGTTCAGATTGGCAGCAGAAATCGCGCAGACAGATCCTACTGACAGACAATGTGAAGCAGATTGACAGCAGAAACCATGCAGAGCCTGAACGGTTCCCAGCAGAATCTGCTCGATTTCTGCCGTCTGATTATGTTAGCAGATTTTGTTATACTTCTGTTGGCATTCTGTCGACATCATGTGATATATATCAGAACCGGCATCAAATCAGTCTTTTTGCCGATAAAATTTCGACTTTCGGCAGACTTAGCTGTCTGGGACGATACTGTCGCCACTGTCGGCATTAATAGATGGGTTAAACAAAGGAGTTCGATCCAAGTCGTCCTCGGAGCATCGTTCCTATCGACCGGTTGCTTCGGGAGTCGAGGTCGCGAATTCGTATCATCGCCGCGGCCAAGAGGAATCTCGAGAGACTCGGTTCACGATTTTTTTCCCGCCCGTGGAAGCGTCGCCGTCATCGCCGTCGCGTCGTCGCGATCCATCAATTTCGCGACGGCGGCGACGACGTCGCGTCGACGCCGCGCGAGCGCAGCGCCACCACGAATTATAAATACCGCAGCCGAGAAGGGGGAGGAAGAGGAGGACGCGCGCGCGGGTGCATGCGTAATTTGTGTACCTTTGGGGAATACGCAGAAGTAGATTGCTTTGCCCCAGCCGTTCTCGGGCGGATGCAGACGGCCGTCGACCAGCCGGACGCCGCGCATCGTCCGCGACTCCGGATTGCGGTACTTGAGGCCGCAGGTGCCGGGGAACTGGGCGGACAGGGTGGTGAGCAGCAGCGTGGTGTCGTCCTCTGTCGGCAGCTCGATGGGTTCCTCGCCCTCGTCCTCGGCGACCTGAATGTAGGATGACATCGTGTAGCTTCTGGTCGTCGCGAACTCGATATCTCTTTATCCGTTTTCTTCTCTCCGCTGGCCTCTCTCGATTCCTTGCGACGCGGGTTTCCCTTCTCGCTCTCTCTCTCCCACTCTTTCACTCTTTCTCTCTCTCTCGCGCTCGCTCTCTTGCTCACTCTTTCTTCCTCGTTTCTCCCGATACTCCGCACCCACGGTCGTTTTTCCTTCGTCCGCTCGTGTTCACGTATTACTCGCAAAGGCGGAGGACGCGGAGAAGCTTGTAAAACTCGCTTACGCTTAACAACACAACAAACACACACGCGCCACACGGTCGCTCGCACCCAGTCACGCAACACCGCACCTCTTTCTCTCCGCTGTCCGCTCTCTGGCGACTGGCGACTGCTGGCGACACGGCGCGCTCGGAATTCGCCAGCGCCACCGGAAGCGGCGCGGCCGGGCCGTGAGGCGTCTGGAAAATTCCACTTGGCGACCTGACCTGCTGGTTTAAATTTACGACGGAAAATGCGCGCCGCGCGTAAGTAAATCGCGATCGCGCGCTCGCGGACGACGGCGGAAGAGGCTCAGGTTTGGCGACGATCTCGCACGCGCGACGATGCCGTCGCGAGGGCGGCGCGAGATCTGGATGTTCGTCGCGGATTAGCATTGTGCCGCGGTCAACGCGTAGGAATACCATTGTCGAACGCGGCGCCGCGGCGCGCCGCACCGCGCCGGCCGACCGCGCGCCATCGATTTTCCGGCGGACGCGACGTGCCGCTTTCCCGGCGACGCGGACGGCGGTGATGAGAAAGCCGTGCCGGAACGCAAAATGATGAAATCGAATCTTTTTCATTATCTTTGTTGACGCGACGAATCAATTATTAATGACGAAGGGCAAAACGACAATTCCTACTCTTGGTTTCCTGCGATGTGTAAAGAGTCTTGAATTCTTGTTCTCTTTCTTTTGTAGTTTCTGACCGAGTCATTGACGCAAGAAAAATTTTAATTTTTTTACATAAGAAAAGATATTATACAATATTATTTGTCAGTTTAAATCGTTGCGTGCGAATTGAAAAGTTAAATTATTAACTGCGAGGCTTGTAGATTTCTACGGCATCGATGCAGTTCGAACGGTATCCAGTTCCGGTTATAATTTTACGAGGGAGCCACGATGATTATATTGTTTATTCGCGAAAGTAAATTATTTTAGTAAATTACTTTACTAAATATAACTT